AGTAGGGATATAGACCTGTCTTTTCAAATAGCCCCATAGGAAAAATCACAAGGTGTCAAGTCAGGGGAACGTGGTAGCCAAAAAAAAAAACTAATACATTTGAAATTCGCTAAATTAGAAACATTGCTTATAGTCAAATCAAGATGAAAACACCAGTTCTTGTTCGATCACCGGAGTTAAGCAAGGTTGATTCCGGACAGTAAATCAGAGGAAGTATTAAGGGAACACCAGGAACTGTAAGCAAAAAGTACAATAAAAAGAAAAGTTTCAGATTAAACAAGCCACAATGGGTTGACAAGCTGTAAAAAATCAATCAATCATTCAAATCCTTAAATAATGACTGCTTCATGACGTGGGGTGAATTCTGCAAAGTGATTGAGTCCTTGCACGGGTAATTCCATGCTAGCAGAGTCACATTTAAGGGCTGCTTCTAACTGCTCTATGATCTATATGTATTTCACAGGGTTTAAATCAGTCATGCACTGGAACCGGGTTTGTCTTATCCGCACACGATGGGGAGATTACGTCATCTTTTTTAAACAAATCATGGCGACTATAAAGGAGTTCAAATAATCTGTAACAAGGTCTGCGTATGTCCCCTTTGGTCACGATAGACTCCAGTTTCCATATGTAGTCCTGGTAAATTAGAACAGACCATAGACCACTATGGGGAGTAGACAAAAATGTCGGAATGGAAAGAAAGAAAGAAAGAAAGAAAGAAAGAAAAAAAAAATGCGGATGTAGATAAAGTAAAGGACGAAGTAAAAATTGAAAACGACAGAAAGAGTAGACAAAAATGACGGAATTGAAAGACAGAATGAATGAGAGGAGAGGTAAAAGAAAGAAAGAAAGAAACAAACAAAATGTGAAGTTAGGTAAAGTAAAAGACGAAGTGAAAAATATAAAACGATAGAAAGAGTAGACAACAATGACGGAAAAGAAAGAAAGAAAGAAAGAAAGAAAGAAAGAAAATGTGAAGGTAGATAAAGTAAAGGGCGAAGTAAAAAAAAATGAAAACTAAAGAAAGAGTAGACAAGAATGACGGAATGGAAAGAAAGAATGAAAGGAGAGGTTAAAGAAAGAAAGAAAGAAAGAAAAAGAAAGAAAGAAAGAAAGAAAGAAAGAAAGAAAATGTGAAGGTAGATAAAGTAAAGGGCGAAGTAAAAAAAAATGAAAACTAAAGAAAGAGTAGACAAGAATGACGGAATGGAAAGAAAGAATGAAAGGAGAGGTTAAAGAAAGAAAGAAAGAAAGAAAGAAAGGAGAGGTTAAAAAAAAAGAAAAAAAGTTAAAGAAAAAGAAAAAAAAGAAGAAAAAGAAAAAAAGAAAGAAAGAAAAAAAAAAAAAAAGAAAAAAAAAAAAAATGAAAGGTAGATAAAGTAAAAAGAAAGCGAAAAAAAAAATGAAAAACTAAAAGAAAAGTAGACAAGAATGACGGAATGGAAAGAAAAAAATGAAAGAAAAAATTAAAGAAAGAAAGAAAGAAAGAAAGAAAGAAAGAAAGAAAAAAGAAAGGAAAGAAAGAAAAAAGAAAGAAAAAAAGAAATTAAAGAAAAAAAAAAGAAAGAAAGAAAGAAAGAAAAAATGAAGGTAGATAAAGTAAAGAAAGAAAAAAAAAAAAGAAAAACTAAAGAAAGAGTAGAAAAGAATGACGGAATGGAAAAAAAAAAAGAATGAAAGGAGAGGTTAAAGAAAAAAAAAAGAAAAAAAGAAAGAAAGAAAGAAAAGAAAGAAAGAAAAAGAAAAAGAAAGAAAAGAAAAGAAAGAAAGAATTAAAGAAGTAAAAAGAAAGAAAAAAAAAAAAGAAAGAAAATGTGAAAGGTAGATAAAGGAAAGGAAGAAAAAAAAAAAGAAAAAAAGAAAAGAAAGAAAGTAAAAGAATGACGGAATGGAAAGAAAGAAAGAAAAAGAGGTTAAAAGAAAGAAAGAAAAAAAGAAAGAAAGGAGAGAAAAAAAAGAAAAAAAAAGGTAAAAGAAAAAAGAAAGAAAGAAAAAAAAAAAAGAAAGAAAGAAAGAAAGAAAAGAAAGAAAGAAAAAAGAATAAAGTAAAAGGAAAGAAAAAAAAAATGAAAAGAAAGAAAAAAAAAGAAAGAAAAACGGAATGGAAGAAAAGAATGAAAGGAAAGGTTAAAAAAGAAAAGAAAGAAAGAACAAAAAAAGAAAAAGAAAAAAAGAAAAAAGAAAGGAAAGGTTAAAAAAAGAAAGAAAGAAAAGAAAGAAAAAAAGAAAAGAAAAAAAGAAAGAAAGAAAAAAAGAAAATGAAAAAGAAAAAGTAAAAGAAAAGTAAAAAAAAAATGAAAAAAAAAAAAAAGAAAGACAAGAATGAAAAATGGAAAGAAAGAAAGAAAGGAAAAAAAAAGAAAGAAAAGAAAAAAAAGAAAGAAAGAAAGAAAGAAAGAAAGAAAGGAGAGGTTAAAGAAAGAAAGAAAGAGGTTAAAGAAAGAAAGAAAGAAAGAATAAAAAGAAAAGAAAGAAAGAAAGAAAAGAAAAAATGTGAAGG